GAATAGAAAGTTATGCAATTCTGCGAGAAAATATTTTTGGCAGAAAAACTCTTATTACTGAGCCCTGGTAACGAAAGTGGATAAATCCAAATGCTTAATTTAGAAAAACATCTTACACACGTGGTGTAGCCCAGAATCCCTGTCAAGTGACACCTTGATACCAAATAATCGATTGACGGCAAAACGTCTGTCCATTGTGTGTAAACGACGCTAGAGGCAAAACCGTTCCCCGATCGATCTAGCTGATGTCGCGGCCCCTAGAATTTGAAATTGATATTTTAATTTTCGGGGGTACTTTACACGAAGTTTCTGGGACGTTTACAAAATTTTCTAAAAGGTGGGGCCATTGATTTTGATTAAATTTTGTTGTTGGAGAGTATGAACGACGATTAAGATTTTGGCGCAGATCTCATGTTGGTTGAAAACTGTTTTTTTGTAAATTTTAAAAAATTCAAAAGATTTTTCGGCGTCTATCTACAACTAAAATATTAAAGATTTTTATTATTAAAGAGTTTTTTCTCTAAATGAAATGTATTCCTTAATGATCGATTTTGAAATATGGTCATGTACAATTTTTTGAAAAGTGTAGTATTTTTTGCACAATTTTTAGTGAATTATAGTCAATTTTTAATTTTTGTTTAAAAAATGTTCTATCAAAAACCGCTACATTGGTTTTTGATGAGAATTTGCTAGTGAATGGTGTAAAGTTAATTTAAGAAAACGGTGTAGGTCTCATGTTGGTTTGAAACACTGATTTTTCGAACATTGAAAAAATTAAAACATTTTTTGGCCTCTTATTATTATTATTATTATTATTATTATTATTATTATTATTATTAATTATAACTAAAGTTATGAATATTTTTTTCTTAGTGAAATATGATCAGCGAAAATAAATTTTCAAACAAGATCATTTTGAAATTTTAGAAAATATGAGTATTTTTGGAGTAATTGGGCATAAAATTTAGTCACCCGCTCAGAAAATATTGCGCTTCTTATTGGTAATTTTAGATGTGTCGAGACAGTTGGATGCTACGTAAGTTAGAACGCGTATTGTATTTCATATTTCTTTGTTCGTTTCTTACATTGGAGCTTTTGGGTTACGTTTATAAATTAATCTTTTAGAAATTATTTGAAACCGATTTGCAAAAAAATGAAATAAATATTGCTAGCCTTCAGTCGCTCGCTCCCAATTTACGCAGTTGGATACTACGTAGTTAGAATTTGTGACTTATTTCATTTAGAATTTTATTATTATTTATTACATATTAATGTTATTTCATTTTAAATTACATACTTTAATTGTGCGGAATGTAAAAAGGAATAAATGAGCGGTTAATGTTACCCAGTGTCATAACGTTTGGCCGCATAGATAATGCGATAATGACGGCAGCTTTAGTTCGCAGAAATGAAAACGAATTCTTTTCTATATTTGTAAAATATTACAATATCATAGTGTTTAATAATTATTATTATTATATACTTTTCGATCTATTTGTTTACGCTGTACAATCTCTACGCTAACAGTATCGTATTATTTATTAACGTAAAAAATTACTTTCTTGCATTCTGCCAATTTTTCCTACTAAATGTTCTAGGTTTTCAAATGAGTTTTTACAAAAAATAATTCAGAGAGATATTTTGGTATAAATAGTAAGAGATAACCATTACTAACGGTGGAAAAGTACGTGGTGTTTGAGCACCACTAGTTCCTAAGGATATCGTGAAACTGAAACATGGGAACATGTGGTCGTTTCCATCATTGTTCTATTCACAATTAGGTACACACCATTGTACGAATACACCACGGCAAAACGTTAAAAGAATAAATACTCATAATAAACAATCTTCATCGGTATTAAGCAACTTTTAATAGTACTCCTATATGTTGCTGCGCGAGGGAATCTTGATTTAATAAGTATGCAAATAAACCTCGCCAGTTTGCGCAAACCACGGTGTACTCAGAAAGCGCAAATAGTACAAGACGGAGGAATCTAAGCCTTGTAGATGTGTCGTCATAAAAATCTCCATCAGCAACAAGTGCTGAAATATATGTCATGAAGCAATATACTTTGTATTCCTCCATGTATATATGGTATTGACACAATTTGTACGTACCGAACCGGGAAAAATTTAATACAATGTCCCAGTATGTCTCATTATGTAGAGTACTGTGTGGGTAACGTTTCTTTAAGGCTTGTAGTCTCAAAACGTACATTTTAAGACCCTGAGATGGTTCGTTTAACTATATAGCTGACCGATTCTTGCAGGTTGCATTTGACAAAAATGTTTAGATGTGAGTTTTAAAAGAAATCCGTTTAAAAGAAATGCGTTTTAAATGAAATCCGAAAGTCAAAGTGATGTTATTCACTTCTTCGTAAAGTTTTCTTTCTTTAGACACTTAAGTTATAAATATTAGTTGCCTGTGGGAGCCGCGAAAGGTACGTATTCTACTGAAATAATATAGGACACGAACGAATCATAATGCTGTAAAGGAGATCGTAAGGTTAGGTTTCTATAACCTAGAACACAAATTCGTTTCAATTTTAATGGCTACCATGAATTTATCGGGTTTATCTCATTTATTGAAAGTAAAATTTGTTATAGTTCAATCTATGATTCTTATCATAATATACGGTAATATCTTATCATAATATCAAAATAAGATTAATTAAGTTAAATTAAGAAACCTTCAAGCAATTGGAAGTAACGGAAAAAATAACAGATTTTTTCTTGATAAATACTCTCGCAGTATGCAACCAAAGATACCAGAACTGACAAAAGAGTGAACATAATTACTTTTTTAGAGCCACTTTATTTGAAACTGTTGTAAATGTTCATTTATATATGTGTATAATTGTGTTTACTCCAGTGGCAATTATTGGATGTTAATTATCAAGAAAAAAATGAAAGAAAAGTTATGTTTACCTTTATTTTTTCCGTTACTTCCAACTGTTTAAACGTCGTTTGATTTAACTTAATTGATATCATTACAGAAAGTACGTAATTTATTATCCGTGATAGGCATTTACACTGTAAAAACATTTGAAGTTCAATATTAGTAAATGCACGAAATAAAAAAGAGCATTTAAAAAAAAATAAAAATGCTTATTGCAATAAAGAGCTAGGAGAATGAAGTTGTTCCAGAGAGATTATGTTTAGCTTGCAAAACAAGTGACTGTGATACTGATTATGAAATTTACAATTCACATATACCATGGTCCATGGTCATATGAAATCAATTCAATTCAAAATATGGTTTCATCAATACATAATAAATTAATATAAAATTGTGATTGCAAATTATCACACAATATATGCCGTGCAGTGTTTTTCTTTAAAAGCGTTTTCATAGGGTGAAATATTCTCTCATGGATATTTTGTTATTTCACATAACTTATAAAAAAATCAGAGATAGGTCAAATTTTATAAATTTAAATACAATAACAAATCCGCAGAGTTCATAGTACTGATTATCCATATAGATTCACACCCACACAGCAATAAGAAGCGATAATCTTAAGTTTGTACAAATTTGATTTCAATTCCGTAGTAAATTCCTCGAGAAAATTAGTAATGTGTAGCTGCATTCGTGCATTCTTGCCAAAAATGTAAGGGTTTATTTAATCTGTAACTCAACCGAACCAATACTGAAATGCAGACACAACTTGCTGGATAGGAGACCTGGTTATTTCTTGCCCGCAAGCTTTGTCCAGAGCCTTGCCTGAAGTAGCTGAGCGCGAGGGCGCGTTGCAGGCCGCACCGCCGGGCAGGGGCAAGGGCAGGGGCAGGGGCAGGGGCAAGCAGCCTCGGCTCCGCCGCGCAGCCGCGCCTTCTTCTGGCCCGCGCTCTTCTTCGTCCCGCTGCTGCTGCCCTTCCTCGACTCCTCTGGCGAGTTGGACGACGGCACCGACCTCCGGCGCTACGGCACCCGCCCTCCCCGCGGCGCGCGCTTCGGCGCCTGGGGCCACACGTGAGTGCGCGCTGCCGCTGCCACGGCCTGCCAAGGGCTGCCTTGGGCCTCGTCCGGGCCCAGGAGCATGAGCTCCTTCTCCCTTCTCTTGGATACCCCTCTCGACGCCATCTCTGCCTCCCCTTCTCACCGCATTCCCTTCCTTTTCGCATTTCCTATTTCCTCAGTTCAGCAGTCTCCTTCATAGTCCAACCGCACGAACCCAGCAGCTGTGGTGGTCGGGCTCTCTGTGGAGACGGCGCACGCGATAAAGGCTTCAGCGAGACGACAATACTCCCACACATATTACACCGCCCTTTAATTTTCAAAAACCGAGCCAACAAAAATGCAAATTATGCAAGGAGTCTCGCGGCGTTGTTAGTTCGGTAACTGCCAGCTGAGCGGCTAGCCCCTCCTTATATGGGCCGGCAAGGCAATGAGCAAAGCCCCTTCGTCTGCCCATTAAGGATGGGCGCGTTCTAATCGCGATTAGTACAACAATCATTTTATACCATTAACTGAAAAATTGATATCGATTATTTTGACATCGAGTAATGTAAACATCGATTATTTTTTCCAATGTTTAGATCGATTACTTCTATTCAAATATTAGTTTTTAAGGAAAGAAAAATGTAAAAGTGCAAGTCTACTTTTGAACTTGAGTAATGCAATTACTCGTCTGCTTATCTCTCTGAAATTGAAACTCGTAAGAGAGACAAACATACGCGACATGTTAGTAAAAGTAATAATTTTTACAGTAAAAGTCCCAAATACGTGTTGCAATTATGTCTCCTTTTTTCTGTCAGTTCTAAATTATGGACATGTTAAAATGGATGTAGTTAATTTTTCTATTCGATATTGTGCATTTGAAAACCTGTTATTGAGTTTTATATAATATCAAAATATTTTTGTAAAATATAATTTCATTTATTTTGTCGTTTATTAGAAGAAAATAATACAATTGACATTTTTTCGATTAAGTAATTGCATTTTATCTGTGGAAAACCCGTGTTTATTATATAGTTATGTATTTAAGGTATGCAGGTTAATGTTGTTTTGTTGATGAACATGTTTTTTCTAATTTCTTAAAATAAAAACTAATATGACATACACATAAAGTTTAATAAACAAAATTTAAAAAGGCACAAAATTGACAATTGTTCGCATTATTGTGCTATGTTTTCATAAAAGAGTTTAAGTTACTTGCCGGGTAATTCATATACAAATTAAAAATTAATGACTACGCATATTACGCGTCATTTAAAATAAGTGAAACATTAATCAATTATAAGATTACTCCAATAATTCGTAATGAATAATCAAAGCCATTCAATCAAATAAAAATAATCGATTTGATATTACTCAATTATTAATTAATCACCCACCGTACTGCCCTTCCTCTTCCATAGGAAGACTGACGACTAACTCTCCTAGGTGTGTAGAGATACAAGAACGAATATACCTTAGCTCTTCCAATTTTTCGTCAATGATAAATTGACATTCATATGATCTTACTGTCATGTATAGGATGCCCAGGGGTAGAATAGCACCTCTTTGTCAACGTATTTATTACAATCAGCCAGAAATCCAAAAGTCTAAATCCAAAATACAAGCCAAGTCACAGACATTCCCGTAGATGTCCCAAGTGTCGCACAGTCGTTACCGTTCACCAGAGAGTAGACACTGTCCCGTCATCAACAAACTCGTCGTAGCAGCGCACTCACTGGTTGTCACCATTCATCTGCGAAGTATCTCTCTGCCATTTCTTTTTTTTTCTTCGGCGAACCAAAGGTCAGCAGATCGCACGCAGAGTGCTTTACTGCTTTGTGTAAGTGGTTGGTGGAGGATCGCGTCGGGCCTTTGTCATTTGCCAGATCGGCGTTTCAATTTAGTCATACTTGTGACTGTCTCTTATATTGTATTTGCGCTACGCCCTCAATGTGTCCGACGGAAGAGCTTGTCTTCCGAGACAGTTGTTTAAGCGTCGCCGGTGCTTGTCTGTCAAAAACATCGTCCATCGCTGAAGTTTACGCAGCGTGATGTCTGGATTCTTCTTTTCGCTTGTGATAAGTAATTATAATAAATATGTTTCCGTATTGTAATAGGACGGTCGAACTCGTCAGCGACACGTATTTCAATATTTTATTCAATTCAACGTTGCTAAAAACAGGCCTGTAAATGTACGGTTTCGGCTTCCTGCGAGCGTGTTAAAGCGTCGGACTCAGTGGCATGCATCTCTATTGTCTCGTCGGGCGCGTCGCGGGCCGCTTCCGCTGACTCACCGGGAAGTACGGACGCTGCTGCCTCCTAACACGGAAATTCAGCTGCGCCTTTCCTCGGAACTTGGGTGACGGTTCAGTTTGGTGAGACTCGAAGGGCCACCAATAATGCCACGACTGGGTGGAAGAAACAGTGCGCGGCGCGCCTGCCAATCGCGGAAAACGAAGCGGGGGAGGGCCACGTGACCCGCGAAGCTGAGGAGGTAGCAGCAACACGCAAGCTCGGCCATTCCGATAGAGGAGACGACAGCGAGTAGAAGTTCCTTTCCGAGGTGGGCACGAGGGCAATTTTCTTTGTCTTGTGGAGGGGGGGGGCGCCAGTGATTGCGTTACCGCATCGCCGCCGCCGCCCAAATGCATCATCACCACATCACGGCCGCCTCTGAGGTCGCTACCTCCACGGACCACGACTGACGAGGGGCTGAGGCGCGATTAACGCAGCCGTGAACCGTGCCACCGATGCAGCGTGGCTGGCGCCTGTGGACGCCACCGCCGTCGCCCGGCCGCGCGTCTGACCGCACCGCGCCAAGCCCCAGAGCGAAGGGCCGCCGCTCCCGTAACCGGGGTCGTGACCGCCGGGACGGACGCCGCCTTCTTCCAACGATAAACTCTGACCCATATGACCGAATAAGATGAGTTAGTTATAAGATAGTTTTAAGGATTAATTATAAAGGGTGGCTTCACCTCATGGAAAGGGAACATTAAACCCACCTATGAAAATAGAATGTGTTTCAATGCAGTATTTGAATGCGAATAAGCCCTTTCACGCATGCCTCCCTTCAAAGAGTCTTCGGACTGATTAGCCGGGTCAACGCTGGATTGCCGCAACCAGGTAATCAGGTGTGCTGGGGCAGCCACGGTGGGTGTGGTTAGAATATTTTAACTCAGTAACTTTTCTTACCCCCAAAATAATTGCTAACGCTTCTTTTTCAATTTGTGCATACTTCTGATATGCATCTTCTGCAAAATCTGGAATGAATTTGAAGTAGTAGTTAGTTTTTCCCAGAAAAGACAAGTAAGAGTAATTGTAGCCAAGAAAAGTAATTGCTTGATGTTCTTTGGAGCAAATTAATAATGGCTTCCAAGTTAGCTTGCGTGGGTCTATTACTCTATCAATCACCTATGTAAAAATGTAAAAAAATGCATTTGCCAAGTGTAGCCTGTTTCAATACCTGCAATTTATCTATAATTCCTTCAAATTGTTCATATCCTCTTCATTAGATGTCCCTGTTACAATATCAACTCTATCTACATCCAGTATCACATGTTCCAAACAAACTTTGAAAAACGTGGTCCACGGATGCTACTCCGAAAGGCAATATCTCGTGTTGAAATAGTGCAAGAGGTGTGTTGTGTGCAACGGGAGCTGTAGATAAGCGTCTTTTAAATCAACTTTTGAAAAGTATTCCCCACCTGCTTAACCTCTGAAACAATTCTTCTGGCTGGAGAATAGCATATTTCTCTATTCTAGCTGGGCATTTACGGTGGATTTGAAATCCCCACACAACCGTACGCCCTCATCAGCCTTCTTTGCCACCACAAGGGGAGTAGCCCAAGCGCTAGTTTTCATTGGTTTAATTGTTGCTGTTGTTGCAGTCTTTCGTCAAGTGGCCTTTGCCGCAGTGAATGCTGCCTGGACTCACCTAAAGTAAGCGCGCGTGTGCGACCAGCGGCAGCACCGTTGCTTAGCGACCTCGATGCGCGCCGGGCAGTGGAATATTGCTTTTAAGGCGAAAAGCCACTTGCCGCCGTCGCCCGGCGCGAGGTTTACGAAGTACGAACATCCCCTTTCGGCTCCTGTATAATTGATAGCTGCAGGCCTGGGTTTCCTCGGGCAGTGCGTGGCGATGTCGTCGGCCCCCGTGCGCAGACCCTGGGGGAGCTTGAGGCACCGCTCTTGCTTGCGCGAGCCCGTGAAGTGGGACGCGTTCAACTTCTCGAGTGACCTTCAGGTGATCGGAGGTGCTCTGCGCTGGAAGCGAGAAAACTTCCCGCAGTGCTTACTCGCTGCCGGCTCGTCGCCCCCGTGCACCACCTCCTCGAACCAGCAACCGACGGATATACGGTTGGGGGGCGGGCGCAGGCTGTGAGCCCGGCGTAGGTCCAAGGGAGGGCAGGGAGCGGAGCGGCAGGGTGGCAGCGGCCGTCGGGGTAGAGCTCGAGCGCGAGGGCCACCGCCTCGCCGATCAGCGCCAGCGGGACGCTGCTCTTTTTGTCCTCAGGTTAGGCCTCTTCAGTAGGGCCGATTGAATCGCAGGGAAATCGTGCCGGTGGCCGGCGTCCGAAGCGGTGGCGCTGGCGGCAAGGCCCTCGAAAGCCCTCTGCGCGGGTCTCCGCGCTCCCGCCCTCGCGGCGAGGAAAGAAGGCGCGGGCTGCGGAGCGAGCGCGAACTACGCATTCCGGCCGCACCGTGCCCCCTACCTCGTCGCCGCGGGCCAACTACGCTGAACTTTCGATTATTCATTTGCAGATCCAAAGCAATTATTACAAAGAAAACATAAGAAACAATATTGTCACCGTATTTACTTTCGTACCCAGGTTTAGTTTTATTTTTTATTATCACTTCAAAGAGTTATCGTTTTATCAGTTATATTTCTTGTTTGACTTAAACAGACTTTTAGTTAATTACATTAAAGTTACAGTGATTGTTGCAAATAGAAAACAAATTTTTCAAAACTTCTCGAAAGAAAGTCAAGCAAAACGATCCATTTTCCGTGCAACTGTTATTTAATTGAAAAACATGTTTTAAAATACATTTACGTGTGACATTTTTTCAGAACAAATTTTAGTGAATTTAAGAATTTATTAAAAAATTATTTAACTTTTTTAACTTCAGCAATCACCACTTTCGCAAAATCTATTCATATAATCAACGATCTTCGCTTATCAATGATATTTAAATTCACTTTCACGACATTCACTTCAATACTTCTTCCAAGACAAAATCTCAACAACCTCTGTTCAAAATTATGAGAAGAGCATACGTTTTAAAAAAGCTTGCAGGTTGCAGTTATGTATTTGGCAGAGTAATACAACAAAGGTTTAAACAAATAAAATTGGAGAGAAATAACGAAAATTGTTATATTTCACAGGCTGTGGGGACGGCTGCCTGTAACACAGAACTCTCCACGCGGTGTGCTAGCTGCCCCCACGCTCTTCAAATTCCAAGGGTCCATTGACGAGCCCCAAGACACGTGGATTGACTTCCGTGGTTGGGGCACGGGGGCTGTTTTTGTCAATGGCTTCAACTTGGGGCAATATTCGTATCTTGGACCCGACAGCGCTCTTCTCTGGCCTGCATCGCTGCAACGCCAAGGGCGAAATCAAGTAAGTTTTTAATGAGATTCTAGAACCATATATATATATATATTCGTATGGGAAAAAAATCTCAGAAAGTTTAATAAAGAATTAAGTAGATTTAATATCATGAGAAACAGAATCATGACAGTTATATCACAAATAAAATGAGTAAATTAGTTGTTAAGAAGAAAAAAAGGTTCATTGTTTTAATAAAAACGTTTCTTTCTGATTTTAAACATATCTTTGTCTGGCAATGAGTATACTATACTTAACCGTTTATCTGTTGGAATTGGGTTGGACTCACCCTTCCACGTTGCCTGTGTTGGAAAAGTTTCCAATTGTATTGAATATAGCAGAAATATCTATGAATAATTACTCTCTTAATGATCACGTTCCTTTCTGTCTCATATTCAATACCCCGTACCACCTTTTTTGCGTCTTGATATGTACTTCATGTATAAAGACAACAGGTAAGTACTATACAGACCTGCAAAAGCAATTTTAAAATATTTCAATTTCTGACTTGAAAACAAAATGCAGTGTATACGTTACAAAATACGTTAAAAAAATTAATGCTAAGTAGAAAAAGTGTTTCTTTTAATACTATTTGGTGTGGGTATAAGTAATTCCACAAAATATGGCAGTACAGAACATTACATAAGTACAGAACATTAATTTTTCCCAAATCTTTTTCAGAAAAGTAAAGTACATTATATATCATTGATTGAATGTAAAATAACTCTTAGATTAAAACACGAACAAGTGGAATATACACACCAAAACAATAATTACTTCACCTCACCAAAAACTGTTTCTTCCAATTCGTGTTTCGAAAAGCCAGCCGGTCATTTTTAAAATTTTCTCAAAAACGGCTCCATTATTTTTCTTTAAATTTCTTGTAAGAATAGCTAAAACATACTAATTCTATAAGGTGGCATACGTTGTGATTTTCACGTTTATCTCTGAATTTTTGATAAATGCAAAAGTTTATTTTTTTCGGCGTCTTCCTACAACTATAACATTGAAGATATATATTTTTCCTTGAAATAAAATTGATTCTCCATTGTTAGCTCTTTCATTAATACAGGAGTTTTAGCCCAATATTTGTGTGTTTTGTGCAATTTTAAAAGAAAACAAACCTAGATTTTCCCAAAAACGGCTGCAATCATTTTTATTCAACCTTTAGTATGGATAGTACTAAATGCACTCTATACTAGGACATAAACGTCATACGGATATTTTCTTTTGTTTTTTTCAAAACTTACAAAAATTTAATTATTTTCACTTAGTCTCACATCATTTGTATTTACATTACTGACAATTTGTTCACAATAATTTATTTATGAGTACATGTACTTGAAATATTGTCAGATAAAGTTTTGCAAAACTTCAATCGTTACCTCTTAAAATTATATCACAATTCTGCATTTTTAGAAGCATTGAAACGCCATTTCCTATAAACCACTCCAAATGTTTTCTTCGAATCTTTTGAACGCATAGTGCTAATTGCACAGTTATAGATAACATAGAATTAACTTCGGGTATTCTTTTTTTTTTCAAAAATTAAACAAAATAATTTTTTTAATATATCCCACAACTTTAATATGCACATTTTAGCGATTTGATAACAGTATTGCATTAGCGGCTGAAAGTGCTTGGAATGACTTTATATGACGTTTTTCGAAAACTCGATTGTTTTCTGTGAAAATAGGTTTCATTATCGCATTTACAGTGGCTCTTTAATGACATTTCCTTAAAATCAACTCCAAATTTTTAACAATTTTTTTATATTATAAATGAAACAAATACAGGTATTTTGAACTCTCTGCAGAGTGTGAGTGAGTGAATATTTTTAGTTATTTTACACAATGTCACCACAGTCGAAATGAGGGCTTTTACTAACATTACTTTCATATTAGTAAGAAGACATTTATCGACATCGTATCGCATCTCTTGCAACTTACACTGGTTTTCACAGTTTGGTAGTATATGATAAGGTTTTTCCGCAAATTGCCGTAATCAGATGGTAATAATAATTATTATTTTTTCAGGGTAAATTTTCTAGGACTCGGAATTTCATGTAAAGCTATTTGATGAGTTGTCAATATGTTTTTATTCATATACTATCAAAAGGCTGTCATATCTTATTTTTCTTTCAAATATATCTTAAAATCTTATTCGACTGTGTTGGTCATAGTTTTAACTGGATTGTTCCTTGATGCAATATGGTTATAAATAGTGCATCAATTTCAACATCATCAGTCAATTAACAATAGTTAATTTACTATGCCACCTGCGTTAAAATCTAGATATTTGATTGTGGAATTTGTTCACAGGTTGTGGTTCTAGAGCTCTTCAAGGCCCCAGCTGACTTCACCATAAGCCTCTTTTGATGAAGCAAACTGTTGCGCTAGGGAGTAATGACGCTTTGGCATCGCACAGGGAGTAACCCATCATCAGGTTGAACAGCTTTAGGAAGAGGATATTGCATTTCATAGATTGGTGTACGATGTAATAGGGGGAAATAGGAATTATATTATTGGGAACAAAAACAATGTGTAAGTTCTTTCTCTAGCGGTAGCACCCTAATGACATTTATATCTCCGTTCAAACTCCTCAAATCAGTGGACGTACTCTTTTCCTCAGCCACGGGACGCGGTTGGCAAACCACCTTGGCCGAGATTTATGATCCCAACTGCTACTCGAGTTACGCGCTGAATTTCGGAACCGGAAACTTCCGTCGAAGCAAGTGAAGCCTTGGTGTGCGAAGCTGTTTGAAGCACGTCCCGTAGCAACCGCGTCCGACCCCTTCTTAGAGATTCGAGCCGAAAGTGTTCGAGCCCCGTGCGTGTAGCGGGTTTTTGGACAGCCCCTAGACCCGCGCGTTCAGTCGCGGGTCTGAGGGCAGAGCTGAGGCTGCTCTGGCTTTGAAAACCGCTAGGTTTGCTATGCTCTACTCTACCACACGCGTCGGAACGCGTTGGAAAGCGGCCGAGCGTGTCCGCCTTATCGGCCTGTGCTTCGCGTGCTGGGAGAATTCTCAATGGGAAAAGGCCCGTAAGGCCGGCGATGAAGGTCGCGTGGATTCTCAATTTTTCAAGAGAGGTAGAACATGGGTTAACTTTAAAACAGAGTGGAACAATTATTATTAGTCTTCCATTTGCACTCTCGACTTTGCGGGATATTTCAAATTTACATATCTATACATTTTATTATTAAAAATTCCACGATTTGAATATGATTATGCGTTTGTGAAGACAATGTTTTTTTAAAAATTCAGTTTGACGTTTTCTAGAAAGACTAATAAATTATTCTATCCCGTTCAAAATTTGTGCATTCTTAGAACTGTTAAACGACAATTGATGATAAACGTCCAGAAATATTTTCTAATGTAAGACTTGCCCATGAGAACCATGTTTAACGTTTCTATTTATTGTTGAAAAAATTTTGTGTTTTCTAGTATCAAGAGGTGTGTAGAGTTAAAAATTGTTAAAAAAATTATCCGTGTTATTTGTTAATACACTATTTCTCCAATAATAAAGATAATAGAAAATTAAAAGTTCACCAACTTGCAGTAAATGTTTTACAACAATTTACACGAGAAAAGAAATATTTTACGTTTTCTCTCGCGTAAATTTGTTTTCGGAAATTTTCCTACTGAGTGATTAGTTAATAGATGTTATTACTGAAATTAGAAGTAATAAATAAAGATCTCTCAGAGATGATGTTTCAAAGTTACAAGTCATTTTCAAGTATGTTATTGATTTAATGAGCGTTTATGCTTCAAAACGTGTGTTTAAAGTAGTTTGTATTTGTGGTGTATTATATCGTATTAAATTACATAACCTCAAACATTTGTGCATATAGGTTTCAGTCGAGTACTTCTCTCTTTCTCTTTCCAAATTAAGAACTTCTTTTGGAAAGTGTATCATCCAAGAAAAGTTAAATGATAGTATTGTGACTCCAATGTGTAGTTAATACAACACATTTAATAAAAAACTTGAACTGTAAAAAATGACTTTATTTATTACACTTATAGTGTTGTGGGTAAGATATCTTTGGCATTTATTAAATATATTAAAGATGTGGTCATTGCCAACAAGTACCTACACATAAGGAAAACTACACATTCATTTATAATAATAACTTATTAAATGAGAGAACATAAACAATAGTCCTTCTCCTTTACTAAAAATTACTTCTAGGACACCACTCCCACACCACACCCCGCCGGGGCGGCCGGGTGACAGCGCACCGCACCACGCCATTGCCCTCCTCCACCCCACGCCGGGTACTTTAGCCCCTCGGCTCCGCCCGACCCCGCGTAGTCGTTTTGTGGCATTCGTCAGCTAGCAGGAAAACGGCTCAACTTACATTCTATGTTTTTTTCGTGTATAAAAAATAATTTTTACGTGTCCTATTTCTATTTCATTCGCTTTTCTTTAGTATGTTAATGGCTTACCCCCCCCCCTTTTTCTTTCTCCCCGTTGTCAAATTATTTTTCGCAAACATTCGTAAATTATTGTAACCTTTGATCATATCTTGTTGTTAATTCGACGTTTTAAGTCTTTGTTTTTTTTGTGTTTTCTTCTTGTATCAGACAATCTGATTATGATGGCTAAGCCAGTTGAAGCTGCTTTTGAATTAAAAAACATAGTGCAATGACAACATCTTTAATTATTTTATTATACACTTACTTACATTTATAACTAGAACGTTGAGAAACAATTTATTTCACACAACGCTTACTTCTTTTTGGGAAACTTCCACAAGCAGCTTTCACACATTCTACACGAAGTTCTTTTCTGTGTTTCTTTGGAGTCTTGATCTTAGACGGTGTGTTCCTGATCGAGAGGTGTGTGAGTCCAGTTTTGTTAGAGCTTAATTTCTGAAGAGTTCCTGCGTACTCAGTCAATGCTTTCTACGGTTCTTCAGTTAGTTCAAAATATATGAGAGTAGAGATATTTTTTCCCCTGCTAATTTGATTTAGCACTTTTCCACGCATTGAAAGCGTGCGTAGATCTAGTTGTATTGTAAAAACACGTGGCCCTGCATCTTCGTGACCTATTGATATAGCATTGTATTTAGCAATATTTTTCATCTGGTCAACAATGTACAGAATACATGAATTGGTCTGCGTGAAAGATATTATCTATCTTGCTCGTAGCTTTTTCCTTCAAACTCAAATTGTACCTGTCTTGTGTAGAGTTCACAGAATAATTACATGTTAGTTCTTCTTGCCTTAATACACAGTGCACGGGTTGAATCATCGGTTTCAAGAATTCTGTCTTAAAAGACTTGCACCACCATATAGAATTACTGTTCTATTATTTTTTACGGTACCGATAATTTTAATTTCTTAGATTTGAGCCGTTCTGCAGATTTGTGAGTGAAAACAGTGTGTCCCAAGTTGTGTTGCGCCTCTCTTAGAAATGGCTCAATTATTTTCATAAAGACATATTCTGGCATGGGGACTAATTTACTCAA